TTTCTTCACTGGATTATTTGGTTTTTTGGGTGTTGAATTTGAGAAGTTCTTTATAGATTTTGGATACTAACCCTTTATCTGACAGGTCATTTGCAAATATCTTTTCCCATTCTGTCGATTGCCTTTTAGTTTTGCTGATTGTTTTCTTTGCTGTGCAGACGCTTTTTATTTTGATAAGGTCCCAATAGTTCATTTTTGCGTTTGTTTCCCTTGCCTCTGGAGAGGTGTTGAGTAAGAAGTTGCTGCAGCCGAGGTCAAAGAAGTTTTTGCCTGCTTTCTCCTCTAGGGTTTTCATGGCTTCCTATCTTACATTTAGAGCTTTTATCCATTTTGAGTTTATTTTTGTGTATGTTGTAAGAAAGTAGTCTAGGTTCATTTTTCTGCATGTTGCTGTCCAGTTTTCCCAGCACCACTTGCTGAAGAGACTGTCTTTCTTCCATTGGATATTCCTTCCTGGTTTGTCAAAGATTAGTTGGCCATACGTTTGTGGATCTATTTCTGTGTTCTGTATTGTGTTCCGTTGATCTGAGTGTCTGTTTTTGTGCCAGTACCATACTGTCTTGATGATTACAGCTTTGTAATACATCTTGAAGTGAGACATTGTGACGCATCCAGCTTCGGTTTTCATTTTCAAGATTGCTTTGCCTATTCAGGGTTTTTCTGGATCCATACAAATTTTAGAATTGTTTTAGTTCTTTGAAGAATGCTGGTGTTATATTGATAGGGATTGCAAAAGTTTACCATTTTAATCATTTTAAGATTACAATTTTGTTGCATTAAGTACATTATTGTGCAGCCATTACCACTATGTTTTCAGAATTTTTTCATCTTCCCAAATTGAAACTCTGTACCCATTAAACGATTATTTCCCATTGTCTCCTTTCCCTGCCTCTGGTAACCACAATTCCACATTTTATCTTTATAAAATTTGACTATTTTAGATACCTGATGTAAGAGGCATCAGACAGTATTTGTCCTTTTGTATCTGGCTTATTTCACTCAGCATTATGTTTTCAAGATTTATCCACGTCATGGTGTGTATCAGTACTTCATTCCTTTTTATTGTCAAATCATATTCCTTTGTATGAATATACCACAGTATCTTCATTCATTAGTTGATAAACGCTTGGACTGTTCCCACTTTAATCTATTATCAGTAATGTTGCAGGGAACGTTAGTGTGCAAGTTTTTGTGGAGATGTATGTTTTCATGTCTCTTGGGTGTATAGCTAGGAGTAGAATTGCTGGCTCCTATGACAACTCTATGTTTAACCTTTTGAAGAACTGCCAGACTCTTTCCAAAGAGGCTACACTATTTTACATTCCAGTAGTAGTGGATAAGGGGTCCAGTTTCTCCACATGTCACCAACATTTGTTAATATCTGTCTTTTAAAATTTTATTTTTTTAATGTTTTTATTTATTTTTGAAGGAGGGAGAGAGAGACAGAGCATGAGGGGGGGAGGAACAGAGAGAGGGAGACACAGAATTCGAAGCAGGCTCCAGGCTCCGAGCTGTCAGCACAGAGCCCATTGCAGGGCTTGAACTCACGAACTGTGAGATCACGACCTGAGCCGAAGTCGGACGCTTAACTGACTGAGCCATCCAGGCACCCCAATATCTGTCTTTCATATGATAGCCTTTTAGTGGGTGTGAAGTAGTATCTTGTGGTTTTGGTTTGCATTTTTCTAATGGCTAATGATGATAGAGCATCTTTTCACGCGTTTGTTGGTTGTTTGTAAATCATCTTTGGAGAGCATCTATTCAAGTCTTTTGCCCATTTTTAAATTGGGTTATTATCTTTTTGATGATGAGTTGTAAGGGTTCTTAATATATTCTAGATGCTACACTCTTATCAGATATATGATTTGTAAATCTTTTCTCCTATTCTGTGGGTTGCCTTTTGACTCTTTTGATAGTGTCCTTTGATGCACAAAAGTTTTCAGTTTTTTTGTTGTTTTGCTTTTAAAGTAAGCTCCATGCCCAATGTGGAGCTTGAACTCCCAGCCCTGAGTTCAAGAGTCAACATGCTTTTCCAACTGAGCCAGCCAGGTGCCCCAAACGTTTTCAGTTTTGATGGAAGTCCCAGTTTATCTAATGTTTTTCTTTTGTTGTTTGTGTTTTTACCATCATATCTAAGGAACAATTGCCTAATCCAGGGTCATGAAGATTTTCACCTATGTCTTCTTTTAAGAATTTTATAATTTCAGCTCTTACATTTACGTCTTTGATGTGTTTTGAGTTAATTTGTGTGTATAATATGATTTAAGGGTTCAAGTTCATTCTTTTGCATGTTAGCGTCCAGTTGTCCCAGCATCATTTGTTGATAGACTGTTTTTTCCACATCGAATTGTGCCTTTATACTTGAAAATATGAAAACTTAGAGAACTGCCTGGCGTTAGCCACACTGCAAAATTTAAAGCCAACTATCACGGTGAGAGAACACTCAAGTCCTCACTTCTTACAGCAACTGTAGTTTCCCAAAACCACTCTCAGGTTTGATAATTCACTAGAAGAGTTAACTAAAAGCTATTATACTCATGGTTACGATTTATTGTAGGGAAAGGGTATAGATTAAAATCAGCTAAAGGAAGATCTAAGCAATGTTGAGTTCTAAGCACAAAGCTTCAGTATTCCTCTTTCATGCAGTCAGAATGCATTATCCTTCTGGCAAAGATTTGTGACATTATGCATGAAGTATTGCCAGTCAGGGAAGCTTACCTCAGCTTCAGTGTCCAGAGTTTTCATTGGGTCTTATTTACACAGTATAATTGTTTTTGATTGATTACCTATGATTGAACTCAGTCTCCAGGTCAACTGATACTGCATTACCCACAGTCCCCACCCTAAACCCCATGGTTGACCTTTCTGGGGTGGCAGTCTACCCTATCAGGTATAGATTATCTCCCAGAATCCAGAGCCAAATACCAGATCTTTTTTTGGACACAGTGAAATTTTTTACTACACTGGGACAAGTATCCATTTTCTGGGGCAGAGTTAATAAGAGGATAAGGCGTTTTACTGAATATCCTCTGTCAAGATTATATTAGGATCTTTATGTATGTACATCTTACTAAATTTTCAAATTCACCCTGAGAAATACTGTTCCTCCTTTTTGCATATGAGGAAACTGAGGCTCATAAGCCAAGTGACTATTGTGAGTGGTGGAGCTAAGATTCAGATCTAAGTTTCTGTTCCAAAGCCAAGCCCTCCACCAAACACTGCTCATCAGAGTTGCTCCATCAGACCTCTCTAGGGGCACTTCCTACATTGTGTTCTCTGGGATGGCTTTCCTTCACACAGTGAAGCACCTTGGATCCCAGCCACTCTAAATAATACATACCATCTGAATAAAAGCAGTTGTGTTTACTGCACAAATGGAGCTTTCAGATAAATTTCTTGGACTCCTCTACTGTGAATTCTGGAGCCATCACCACACATTGCCTCCCAGCAAAGCAAGTTAAAGGTCTATGAAGATATACTCATCATATAACCTGTTTTGAAGTACCAAGCAATGGTGTTACTTTTAGGTTGATTTGAGCAACACTGAAACTCTTGCTGCTCTTTTTTTCTTCTCAGGCTGCTGTACAGGACCGATTGAATGAACAAGAGGGTGTACCAAGTGTTTTCAACCCACCTCCATCCCGACCCTTGCAAGTTAATACAGCTGACCACAGGATCTACAGCTATGTTGTCTCAAGACCACAACCAAGGGCAAGTTATTTTATAGCTGGAATTTCCCCCTTGTTTGTTTCATAAGTCCATTCACTAGGTTATGTTGATCTCTGTATGATAGGAGCAAAGGAAATATTCAGAATGTAAACCTATTAGGTAGATCTGGCTTCTTGGTAGATATGTTGGGTTTATCATCTTCACTTGATTCTTCAATGAATTGATACAGTAACTATTTTTTTTTTCATTTTATTTTTGGCTCTTTGTTAGTTATTTGAAGTTTGTGCACCTTATTTGAGTACACAATTTTATTTACATGTCTGAAAATGTTGGCTGCATGTTCAATAGATTTATCACTTTTTTAAAAAAATATTTTATTTTTTAAGTAATCTCTACACCTTGCGTGGGGCTCGAACTTACAACCATGAGATCAAGAGTTGTATGCTCTAGCACCTGAGCCAGGCACCCTTAAATCTTTCCATTTTAAGTTAAAATGTTTACTGGATTCTTTGTTGCTTCATTTTACTTAATTGTAAGCTACTTCTAGGGAAGTTACTTGGAATCTTTGTGGGAGCCTTAGCCATATCTTTAAAATTCATCTTGAAGGGCTAGTAGCAGGGAGGTGATAAGTGGTTCATTTAAGAATGCTCCGGTGTACCAGGTATTTTGCTGTTGGGGATCCAGATATGAATAAGAGCCAGTCCTCCCCCTTCAAATTGTTCTCATAGTCTAATTAGGAAAGTCAGATATGTATAGTGATGATGAACTCTAGAGAACTTTTTAGAGTTTCTCTTTCTTACTCTTGGAATTACACTCAAACTCTTACACTTGGATTTAGAATTCCAAGAAAGCACTCACTTTAACTTTGCAGCAGTTAGAATTTACTCCGTTATCACACTGTAAGACTTTGTTTTTAAGCAGTCTCCACACTGACCATTGGGCTCAAACCCAGAACCCTGAGATCAAGAGTCACACGCTCTACCGACTGAGTCAACCAGGCGCCCCATCATACTTTTTTTGTGGAATACTTGACAACATTTCAAAAATGGAGTTTCTAAGTAGTTGCTTTGGGGTATTCTGAAGTGGAAGAAAACAAGTTCCTAGAGCAGTTACATGACTCAAGAAATTCTGTGTATGTCTAATGTTTCCGCCATTATTTTCGGACTCTTATGTCAGCCATGGGGCTCCAGAGCTCCCTGGCCATAGACACAGGGAAAGTCTCAGGTTAACACAATGTGACATATAAGAAATGTTTTGTAAATGATAGAGCCCCTACATAGTTAATAATAACAGCAATAATCAACATTGCTAAAATTATAATTAATATTATTACTAAGATTAACGGTCATATGGAGACTTATAATTGTGGTTTGTGTAATTATTTCTCATTTATATACAAATGTCCAAAGTAGTAATTGTGGTTATTGTTATTTCTGTATACCATATTTTAATGTATAAATTTGAAAAGGAAAGAATTGGGACACCTGGGTGGCTCAGTCAGTTAAGCATCTGACTTCAGCTCAGGTCACGATCTCGCGGTCCGTGAGTTCGAGCCCTGCGTCGGGCTCTGGGCTAATGGCTCAGAGCCTGGCCTGCTTCCGATTCTGTGTCTCCCTCTCTCTCTGCCCCTCCCCCGTTCATGCTCTGTCTCTCTCTGTCTCAAAAATAAATAAAAACGTTAAAAAAAATTTTTTAAAGGAAAGAATGAATACTTATGATTTAGGGAGGCAAACTTGTAATTAAATTTGACAATATAAATAGTTGCAGAATTGAAGCACTGAAGCAGATTTAATACAAAAATTATGTGATAAAATAAAAATATGATAGTATTAGATGAAATGAGATGAAAGGCAATAAGTCTTTAAGAAGGATGATGTGACCAGGAAGAGGGAACTGTATTGCAGTGGAGGAATCATGCAAAAGAACAAAAAAAGAGTGAAAATTTGAACTAGCCATCTGCGGAGTATTAGAGATTGAGAGAATGGTGTCTAACTTTGTTTTTGGAATTTCAGGGGCTGCTTGGATGGGGTTATTACTTGATAATGCTTCCATTCCGGTTTACCTATTACACAATACTTGATATATTTAGGTATGTACATTTGTATTTATATGTTAGTAGAAATAGGGTAGACTTTGGAGCTGAAACATAGACCAGAATAGTAAGGTTTATGCTTTGTCAGTTTTGACTTGCCAGTTGATCATCAGATTGAATACTCTTTCAGAACACTCTAATACTGTAGTATGACAATATTTTAAATTGTTCAAACATAACAGATGTTGTGAAATGGAACTGTTTTAAAGTAACCCTGTAAAGTAGTCTTGCCTATCTTTCTCAAGATCAGCCTACCTATGTTTATCATTATCCTCCCTCTTCCCACCATGTTTGTCACCTTTACATTCCCTAGTGAATCTTCACACCCTTTTCTTTCTAACCACCATTATCTACCAGCTTCACACCCCTTGTAACTTTTACCCTAAACCATCTAACTATATCTGACTACTCATAATCCCAAAAAATGTTCTTGCTCTTAGATTACCCATTTTTCTCTACATCTCCCACAACACTTTTACCCCTCTGGACACTCCTGTACATTCCCCTCTGTCCTGACAGCTCATTGGTTGCTGGCACTGGCACCCTTCCATATATATACCCCCTTGCTTTACACTTTCACTTTTCTTCTCACTTCCTTCATGTGCCATTCAGAGAGCTCAGTACTGGAAGACAGAGAGGGGCCAGGCCTACAAAATGTCAAAGGAGCCCAAGTTTCTGGCATTAGTCGTGGGGCATCTGGTCTATAACTAAGTAGTAAATGAACCCACACCTAGGCTTTATGGGGAACTACTAAAATGTTTTATGGGCATTTAGGCCAACCGATGGAGCTGGAATATGTGGTCTGGGCCTTGCATACAGGGCAACCTGTGCTTCTCCTGATGCATGGAATAGCTTTGCCTTGCTCTAGGGAGCAGAGGCTGGAGATGAGGACCCAGCAAGTGTAGAAGTGCAAGGATCAGATAAGACTACTTGGTGCTTTAGGAGTCTGCCTGCTTAATGGCTTCCTTTTGCTTTAGCAAAGTTCTTATTGGTTATCAGTTAATCAGTTGATACTCTTTGCATCCTGTTTTATTTGAGAATGGACACATATAAACCGTTAAAATCATAACAGACTGAATTGAGATCTTTTTAAAAAAAAGCTGATCGTCCTGAATTATGTAGGCCATGAGAATATATTACAGTTAAAAAAGTTACAGCCTTTATCCATTCATTCATCAAAATTTGAAAACTTAATAAGATAGTCCTAAATACTTAATTTCAGAGAAAGTTATCAAAACATCAATCTTTTAAAAGATTTTTAACCACTCCCTTACATATATACAACTTCTTACATTTGTTTTTAATTTGCTCTGGAATGTTTGTGTAAGTGAATTTGATTTGATTACTCAGGAGAAATTCCAAGTGAAATTGTATACACATGGGGAATTTGAGGGGCTAAGGAATTGGCTCAAGATTGGGTAAGGAAAGTGTCATAGTTTAGTCGCCTTTTCTGTGCTGAAAATCTGTGAATATTGTTTGCTTTTCTTGGAAAAAAATATGCATGGCATGTGTGACTAATTTTAATGCAACTGTATCATTCAAGCAACTTGTTTAATGTTATGTAGCACATTGACTTATCAGAACTGTGTCCATTGCCTTCTGTGGAAACCCAAAGGCTAAATAAATGGTGCTATATAATTATGATAAGATAGGCTCTTTAGAAACAGAAGTGTGGTATCACCCTTAACTTGACAATAGCTGCCAGGTGCCAAATCTATCAGTGTACTCTAGATCAGTTTTATAAACTTCCTTCATGGATGCCATCAACCATAAATCATTAAGCAGGATTTTACTTGACCCCTTGAAAAACAAGTAAATCATGAGCACAAGTTCGGGTTTGAAGCCTGACCATAATTTGAATGGCTTGGGAGTATGCACTAAAAATTCAAAATCCCAGGATGACAGAAAGGAAAGGAAGAGGCAAGTAGGACAACAAGAAAGAGAAAGCGCTCTTTTCTAGAGCAGTAGAACTGCTGCTTTCTGTGATAATGGAACTTTCTGTGATAATGGAAACGTTCTGTATCTGTACTGTCCAGTGTAGAAGCCACCTAACCACGTATGACTACTGAGTACTTAATGTGGCGAGACCAAAGAGCTGAATTTTAAATTGTATTTCATTTAGTTAACTTTAAATTTAGATAGCTACATGTGGCTACCTTACTAGACAGTGCCATTCTAGAAAATCTGGGGGCACAGCCTGACCTGTGATCTTTTTGGACTGTGTCTTCCTTTCCCAATTTTTCTAGTCCTGAATTTTTCTGCAAAAAGCATGCAGGATTTATTTAGACCAGTGTTGGAATTTATAATCCTAGCAGTTTGCATTCGTCTTGAACAGGCAATGGAACAACACTTGCTGCTTTGCACCTTTTGAGCCAGACTATACTCTCGGGTTTGATGGTCCACCCACAAACCCTTCACCCCCTTTTGCTGCCATGCCTCTGGCTCTGTTGTAGGAACCTTTACAAACTGGCCCACTCCATATGCACTACAGTAAGCCGATTCATGTGATATTTATTCCTTCCTCCCCAGGTTTGCTCTTCGTTTTATACGGCCTGACCCTCGCAGCCGGGTCACTGACCCCGTTGGGGACATTGTTTCATTTATGCACTCTTTTGAAGAGAAATATGGGAGGGCACACCCTGTCTTCTACCAGGGAACGTACAGCCAGGTCAGTGCCACGAACCATATAGATGCCAATTTATTGATATGGTTATATCCACAAAGGAAAGCATAGCCCAGCACTGATCATGTCATTCTTTTACTCAAGAACCTTAAATACCTCTTCACTGCTTATAGAAAAAAAAAAAAGCCAACCCTACTTGATCTAATTCAAACCTACTTTGGAGGTCTTTCCTATATAACTTGTTTCTGCATACCCTAGGTTCCAGCTAAACCATTTCCTGTACATACTCTGTACTTCTTACCTCTGTGCCTTTGCTTTTGCTTTTCCCTCCACCTGGAATGCCTTCCTCACATTTTTGGTAAATGGAAGCTTGCCCATCCTTCAGCTAGGTCATATCACTCCTTTCTTATATCCTTTCTGATTGATGTGCCCTACCCTGGCCTACCTTGCAGTCTAAAATAGTAATCTTTCTTATGGTGCTATCATAGTTTTTTTTGAAACTTAAAAGTATTTTCACATTTTCCCTTATATTATGGTTGCTTATATTTGTGTTTTATCTCCTATAGCAGACAATAATCCCCTTGAAGGCAAAGCCCAAGTTATCTTTGATCCCTCACAGAATTGAACAAGGGCATAGAGCATAGCCTCAAGGCAGCACATCTCTTTCAACCCAAGCCACACAGACCTTTGACTGTTATCTCTCAGGGGGTGAAAATTAAGACTTCTATGGGTGTTAGGCATATCTCTAGTTTGCCAGAGAAAAATGTAGAAATAACACTGTGAACATAGCCCAAACAGTGGTTCTATTCTGCAGCCTCCAGAATTCCTGAATCTATCTGGTGAAAGAGAAAAATACTTTTCTCATACTTCCTGCTTTGAGTCTCCCATATCGGCTTTTTCTCTATAGTCTCCTCAGGGGCTCTACTACTACCCTACTCAACAAGCATTAAGCACCTACTATATGCCCGGGCAGTGTGCTCAATGCTGGAAATGGCAGATGTGAATGAGATGGGTACCTCTCCTGCACCCTCTTTGCTATGATCCTGAGGATAGATCACCATTGGTCATTCAGGAAATCTTTACTGAATTGTAATGTGCTCAGGATTAAGCAAATGAAAAAGCATACACAGGAATCTTGGACATTAGCCTTGTCTTTGAAGATCTTTTAAATCCTGTGCTCTTTAGAATGCATTTGGGTCCCCCAGTCTCTCGTGCCTGCTTGGTATGTGGCCTGGGATCAGTCTCACCTTTGCAGTATTTTTTATGTACAGAGATGTTGTAGCTGTAAAGTGGCAAAATTCTCACCTCCCTTTTCACGTGGTCAGATTCTTCTGTTTTTATCTTCCTTTAGACTGTGGGAACAGCTGACTTCTGTGATTTGTTGGGACTTTTCTTTGTCAGCCTGTCTACTGTCATGTGCCTAATACAGTTTAAATCCTAACAACACTAAAACCTTTTCATTAAAGCTTGTTAGCGTGGACTTTCTGTAGGGGGAAAAATGCCAGGGGTGTGAAGGTAGGAGCCCAGGAATCTGATTTCTTGTTCACCATTTTTCCTCATTTTCCTTTTGTTCCCTTAGCCTAATTAAAAGCTCAAGGCACAGTCATCATAATAATTGGTGGTCTTCTGTCTCCTACAGGCACTTAATGATGCCAAGCGAGAACTTCGCTTTCTTTTGGTTTATCTTCATGGAGATGATCACCAGGACTCTGATGAGTTCTGTCGGTAAGTGGATTGATCGGTTTTTTTGTTTTGTTTTTTTGTGGGTTTTTTTGTGTTTTTTTGCTGATATTTTGTAGTAAGCAGGTTCTTCTCATGTCCTTTTCATCCCTCTCCTCAGCAACACACTCTGTGCACCTGAAGTTATTTCCCTAATAAACACTAGGATGCTCTTCTGGGCATGCTCCACAAATAAACCTGAGGGATACAGGGGTAAGTTGTCTTTCTTTTTCCTCATTGAGATTGTTGAGCTATCTTTAGAATAATCTGGAAAAACATGCCATTTATTGCATGATTATTCTGTGGTAGACATAATGCTAGTATACATTATCTTATTTAATCCTCTCAGTAATCCTGAGATATGGGGGTTGTATTATCTATGGTTTAGGAAACAGACTCAGAGAGTTTAAGCCACTGACCAAAGATCATACAGTTAGCAAGCTCCGTCTCTCAGACTCTTAGCCTTTTATTTACAAGTAACCATTGCCAGGGCCTGTTTTATTTTATTTTATTTATTTATTTATTTATTTATTTATTTAAAATGTCTTCTTGTTTAGTTTTGAGAAAGAGAGAGCATGTGCGTGAGCAGGGGCGGGCCAGAGAGAGAAGGAGACAGAGGATCCTAAGCAGACTCTGCACTGACAGCAGAGATCCTGACGCGGGAGTTGAACTCACAAACCTTGAGATCATGACCTGAGCTGAAGTTGAACACTTAACTGCTTAATTGAGCCACCCAGGTGCTCCAGGGCCTGTTTTAGTTTTAAAAACACCCAGTCCTGTGCAGAAACTTGCTTTTAATCTAAATGGCTTTTTAGTGAGGAGTTTACTCTCAGCAGCAGCAGTTTTAACAGAGCTTCTTATACAATGAATTAGTTGTTTGAGTACCTTGAGTACTGATAGGGATTCAGAAAGTTCAGATCTTTGTTGACAGTAACTCTTACCTGGAGATGGAGATAAGTATTTTTAGAAGTCAGTATAGCATATAAAGGTATCCAGTGAAGAAACATACAGTTACTTTACTGTTGCTTCTGTTCAGCAGCTTTTGAGTATATGCTAGTGGACCAGGCACTGTGCTAATAGATCCTAGCACAGTGAATCAAAGATGTTTTGCCTACATTTTAGAATCTGACTCTTTACCCCTAACTGGTATTTATACCTCTGTTAAATTCCTACAGGGTGCGTTTTGCCGTTCTAATATGGCTCTGGGGTGGGGGTAGTGAATAGAAAGAGTCTAAGGATATTTTTTTACAGATGCTTATAAAATCTCTTTCAAACCATAAGAAAAACATAAGTAAAACTCTGTTATGGTAAAATATTGGTTATTTGGAAGACCAACTTTCTAAACTCCTTTGGAACAGAAAAACTAGCTCTTTTAATGGAGGGCAAGGTAGGGAGACATGAAAAAAGGAGTAAGGAAGAGATTGAATAAGAGGAAGAAAAGGCAGAGACGATGATAGGAGTTGATCACCAGTAGTATAAAACTGAGATTTGCAGTCTTATTTGCTTTAGGCTTGATACCCAACATGGAGAAAAATTATGCTCAGCAGTAGCCAGATTCTTTATAGATCCTTTCCTACCTATCAAAAAGACACTGTCCTTGACCTCTGCAGTCTTCCCTAGCATCATCATGACAACCACCCCACCACAAAAGTCTGTCCTATTCTAATCAAATTACCTGGAAATAGGGACACGAAAATATACCAACAAAAAGGTTAAGAAACTAGGAGGAAAAAAAGGTATGCAGAGAATAAATGACACCTCCTTTCTTTCCCAGGTGGAATTAAAACAGTTCTCTCTTGCTCATGGTGGAAAGTCTAAGAGCTGATCTGGTTCTTCCCGAGGGCTGCCCTTAATCTGTTGGCTTTTCTTTGTGTCAGTGTCACAGGCTTTACGAGAGAACACCTATCCATTCCTGGCCATGATTATGCTGAAGGATCGGAGGATGACTGTGGTGGGACGGCTAGAAGGCCTCATTCAGCCCGATGACCTTATTAACCAGTTGACGTTTATCATGGATGCAAACCAGACTTACCTGGTGTCAGAACGCCTTGAAAGGTACAGAGGAGTTCCTCTCTGAAACAAGCAGAAACGAGCTGTAAATTTGGGTGGCTGACCCAGGGCTCCATAGATCCTGACTTCTCTGTCTTAAGCAACTTTGAAAACCTCGTCTATTTAGTGTTAAAATACTTATGTACTTTGACCTAAATAATTCTCCCATCAGATCATCTGTTCCTGGAGATGTGAATCCAAATAAAGACAAGAGTCTGGGCTCAAGAATATATATGTCATGTCATTTAAAATAGCTGAACCATGATATAAAGAGCTTAAATATAAAATACATGGAATTGTTAAAACCCTTCCCTCCATTACAGAAGTATTATACGTTAATTGTAGAAAATTTTGAAAATACAGAAAAGCACAAAAAAGAAATTTAAAATCACCCATAATCCTACCACAACTTTTAATATTCTGGTATATTTTCTTATAATTTTATGGTCTCTCTCTCTCTCTCTCTCTTTTTCACTCCTATGTATACGTACATATACAATTTTTGGGAGAGAAAATAGAAAATACACCAGAACGTTACAATATTTTCTCTTAGTAGAATTCTGAACAAAGATATTTCTCCATTTTCTGAATCTTATGAGATCCACGGATGTGGTTTTTGGTTTTATGAAAACAGTATATACAAAAATGCAGTAACTCAAAAGGGTATTACTTGTAAAACATGATCTTGATGATTGCTTTTCAACAATAATACTGTTTGATTCGTTACAATTGAGGAACAAATAGTTTTAATTGTGAAGTTGAAAAGCTTGCCAGTTCTTTTTTTGCCAAATTAAACTGGGGAAAAGATGGCTTGTTCAGATTCTGCCATGCTCTGCTTTGGAATCCTTTATGGTAGTATGAAATACTCATCTACCAAGATTGTCACCTTTTTACCCCCAAAAAATTTCAATATAAGAAAAAAACAGATTGCTCTTTTCCTTCTGTGCTTATGATTTGGCCACAGGGAAGAACGAAACCAGACCCAGGTGCTGAGACAACAGCAGGATGAGGCCTACCTGGCCTCTCTCAGGGCTGACCAGGAGAAAGAAAGAAAGAAACGGGAGGAGCGGGAACGGAAACGGCGGAAGGAAGAGGAAGTACAACAACAAAAGTTGGCAGAGGAGAGACGTCGGCGGGTAACGAACCTGTCTTTACTCCTTGTGATTCCCAAAGTGGTGTTAAGTGTGAAAGGAAAAAAACTAGAAGATGATGGGATTTGTGGGTGTTTTAATTCTCCTTGCCATTTTATTAAAGTAAGTTAAGTTCTGCATGCATTGTGGGGCTTGAACTCATGATCAAGAGTTGCATGCTCTACTGATTGAGCTAGCCAGTTACCCACTCCTTGTCATTTTTATATTTACTGCATTTTCACAAAAAGTAGTTTTAAAAAATTTTTTTGTTTATTAAAACAGAAACAACAGGGGCGCCTGGGTGGCGCAGTCGGTTAAG